AATGATACGCCTCAATTACTTGGTTAAATTTGAAGACTAAGCCTCTTTGATTTTGGTAAGCAATAAAGTTGTGAATTTCATATGTGAAATGTTTACGTCATTAGGTACAGTCTGTGTAGATTTGTAAAGGATTGCGTGTCCACGTAGTAAGCCAAAAATTAACAGAAAAACCAGTTAAATCTTTGAAACAAAAATGTACAGCGCACTTGCCGCATCTCTAATGGGAATAATAGACCAGATCAACCACATTTAACACCTCATTTGGATTAATCAAAGATGTTTAGCTAGTTTAAAATCATTTTGACCAATCAAAGATGTTAAGCTAGTTTAATATCATAATTTGACCAATCAAAGAGGGTTATTAACTACTTTAAAGGAATCTCGACACTTTAATATATCAGATTTCACGCAAAGGTTACAAATCTAAAACCACAAACGATAATTAAGAAACCTTTTAACAGAAGTGGAAATCACTTACCTGTGACAAAAGGTATATGTTTGTCTTTGGTTATATACCAAAAGTAAATATATTTTATGTTGTTGATTTTAAAGCGACACACTACTGCCAATGTACATCCTTATTTAAAGTAGCTAAGTCTCTAACTCAGTATCATCCAAAACCTTAGACATTGAAACACGAATTAGTTGTCAATTTTAATCAACATTAGTGTTGTGGTCTTACCGGGAAAAGATGGGCTTCTGATATCCAATATTTAAGACAAAATAAACATTTTACGATTGGTACACGAAGCGTGTACCATAATGCGTTTCAGCGCAATTTGTAGCAAACGACCGAAGAACGAGGTTAGACATATTCCACAAGTCATGTCAAACGGTGACCCCATATTCTTATCTGGAGAGCATGCGCAGTAAATACTATCGGTGTAGACTGGAATAACCAGACGTTAGAGATTGCCATTCGATTGAGACTTCTGGCGTATTTCGTCGAACATAACTGCTTTGAAATTAGAGTAAAAACGGAAACGATTGAATGTAAATCAGTTTATCTACATTCATATTACATTATTATATACGTTGCGATACATTTGTATCAATTTGTAAATCCCAAATATTAGAGATTTACCTCCTTTAATAACACAATCATGCTGTTTCTGAAATCATGGTGTCTCAGTGAGTGCTAACTCACTAATCCGGGGCTAACGGATTCGATCCCGGTGGTGATCTCGAAAGTTCCTCGTAATTTTCCAGCCTGCTTTCAGTGACGCAGGAAACACAGACTGGCCGATCGGACTGGACGAAAACTGGTCTCATTTTCGTACATGCCCATAAAAACCTAGCCGCTGGAAAACTCTCGCTGTGTTTAACGTTGATGTCACTTGAATTAGATTTGGACAATGTCCACGCTAGTCCTCATCATTTATAAATGACACCTTTACTAAACATAATAACAATGCAAGGAAGTCGATCAGAATACAATACAATGTGAATTAAGTCCATTAACATCAAAGACCAGTGAATAAAGATATCATCGATCTTATATAACAAACACATAAATATACGAATTATACAATCTTTTTTTGTTCGATATAGTCAACAACGTTCTACTGGCCGAGATTTGATTGCATTTGAAGCCAAAGATGTAACAAATAAACCAGGGCGTTTCTAAGCAACGGTGGATTAAAAAGAGAGAGAAATGGGGTTTAACGTCCACTCGACACAAACTAGGTCATTTCGGGACTAAGACATGGTTCAATTTTATTTCAATAATTCGCTTACGCGTAGGGGTCTTCAGCAGTGGGGGGAAATCGGAGGACCCGGAGAAAACCCACGAGGTTGGACAGGCGACCTCACTCCTTGTCACGTACAATCGTGGGATCAAAACCACGCCAGTTGACTCAATGACAGACTTTATAATACATCGCGCACACGCTAACCATTCGGCCATCCACCCACCCAACCCCTCCTCTTTAGCGAGCCAGCATCTTACTCAAATGAAATGGGGTTTAACGTCTTATATTTCTGCATCAGCCGGGTTAATGAAATGAAATGAAATGAAATGAAATGAAATGGGGTTTAACGTCCTACTGTTCTGCTCCTAACCTGGGCTAATAAAGCCAGGCATACGCCATACAGTGTGCTATGAGGGAAATGAAAATTAAATGAAATGGGGTTTAACGTCCTACTGTTCTGCTCCTAACCTGGGCTAATGAAGACGGGCATACGCCATACAGTGTGCTATGAGGGAAATTTTGCCCGGAGAGCGGCACTACGGCCTACTCTTATATCGAATTCCAACTGCCAAGGGATCTTTTACGTGCACGCCAATGTGTACACGGGACCTCGGTTTTTCGTCCCATCCGAACGACTAGACATTTTTCCTTGTCAAGCCCTCCGTCCTGCATCACTGACAAGGGAGAACCACGCCGGAAAATCTGGATGAACTTTCTCGGCCAATGCAGGGATCGAACACCCGACCTCCAGGCTAGCGAGCTAGCGTCTTACCCACTTAGCCACGTGATCCCCCCGGGTTAATGAATGCAATATAGTTTTATGGCACGTCAACTCCAACCGGGCTATATTGCGCCAGACAAATGGTGCAAAGTACGAGACAAACTAAATAATATCACAAGGAATTCATGTACACAAATAAAAGCAAATATCACAGTATATTAAATAATTAAAAATAAAAAACACAATTTCATGTACACAAACAATTAAAAAAGAAAGACAACGTGATACATATATACAATTAAAACTGACGATAAAAATTTGTCTCTTTTAAAAAGTCTAGTAATTTGCAATAATTGATTTAAAGACTGGCAACGGAAATGTTTTGATCTTATGTCTTTGAGAAACAGCCGGGTTAAGGGAGTCACGCATGCGCCATGAAATATGCGTATAGCGAAGACTCCATTCAGCCATTCAGTCGTTTGCGGGTTTTGGTGTCATTCATAATGTTATTGACCTTTTTACAATACCGTTTGTGAGATTTTTGCATCCATCAAAATTTGTTTGCCTGGGTACTTTCGTGACCGACTTCGGGGTCATTCTCGACACTGTTAATAATTTTGTTTTTAAATTTCGAAATTATTTTCGGAAATTTGGAAGTGATGTGGGAACAATTTTGTTTATTACATAACGTCTTTTATGGATTAAGCGTTGTCTTTTCAATAAGTTGAAAATCGGAAAAACCGTATTGTTCTATTCATGTTTTATATAACAGTCACACAAGACACTGCAAGTTGGATGTTACATTATGATTTTAAATGTTAAGTGGGTCTATTAGAACCATTTACAATTAATCTGCATTATTAGGAGCACCCCCGCCATCCTGCCCCATCTTAGCATGACCCCCGAAACGCTGTATGGTGTTGAAGTTGAACTTATGATGGATGTCTCTACACGAATTCTGAAAATTGCATGTCGAAACCCAACTAAAATCTCTCCATCGCATCTGTGAAATCGGAGCAGGCTTAACCAAATTATCATACCCAACCCAATTCACGTTACTATCATACCCAACCCAATTCATGTACTATCATACCGAGCCCAATTCACGTATACCCAACCCAATTCATACTCAACCAAATTCGTAATACATAAAGATGTTGAATATATCCCAGAAGAATTTGACCTTTGTCTCAGCTGCGGTGAAAACTACTGCGAAACTGTAAATCCCAGAAGGGCAAAAGAACCAATCGAAAATTGTCAACGTTCTATTGTACACTAATAAAACATATGATCAGTCAAACTAAAATCTAAAGTGATGAATATAATTAATCAATCAAGAATTCAAAAACAAGTCATAATATTCAAAAACAAGTCATAATGTAAAATAGGACACAAATTTGCCGAAAGATGATGAACTTAAAGAATTATCGGACATGTTGATGGTATTCCACGTGTAAGCGAATTATTGAAATAAAATTTTAACATATTTTAGTCCCGAAATGACCTAGTATGTGTCAAGTTGACGTTAAGCCCCTTTTATTAAATACGTAATCAAAGTTGAGAAGTTTTTTCTTTTTCACACACAGGTAAACTGATGTTTTAAATTTAAACCATGGCAAACGCCTATTATCAAACTGTAAAATGTCTGTATCCCAATAATCTGCTTTACATCTATCTATCTATCTATATACTAATATTTGTGACTGTCGTTTGTCTGTCTGTTCGGGGTTGTCGGCTACACTAGGCCTGCCCCGAGTCAGCTATAGGGTATAGGGGTAGCTCGGACCGGGGAGTAACATAGGCCAGGTGGCGTTAGTCTACCACTTCCGGTTTCGGGGTTATGACCCCCGGTCTGTTCGGGGTTGGCGGCTACACTAGGTCAGCCCCGAGTCTGAAATTTGGGGTATAGGGGTAGCTCGGACCGGGGAGTAACATAGACCAGGTTACGTTAGTCTGCCACTTCTTGTTTCGGGGTTATGACCCCCGAGCGAAGCCGGGCATTCTGCTAGTATAATTCCCACCGTACCCTGACCCTCATACTACTAGACTTTCTGGTAACTGTGGGAATATAGTTTCTCATTTGCAACGCCCACTTAATATTGTTCAGTTGTACCTCTCTTAAATTTATTAACATGACAAGCCTAAAATCAATTCTGTGGGACATCGGATGGCCGAGATTTAAATATCCGGGGTACATGGATAATCGAGAATAAAGCCATTGCGAGTGAGTCCCCAAGAAAGGGATTGATCCTCACGTGACATTTCCGATGATGACGTAGTATGATGTATTCAATCCATTCTTCATTAAGACAGCCAGAGCGGTAGTCAGTGTTGTACGGTTGGACATGAGATATGCACCCCATGTCCCTCGTTTTAGTCGATCTTTTAGTTGTGTTGATACCCTTGCATTCAGATTTATCGCATTATTGCTTCCCAATACTTAATAATGCTGAGGATTGGTGCATATTTACTTTTAATGTGAAAATGTCATAGACCCATTAATGTGAAAATATCATAGACCCACTTTAAAGTGCATAGATGTACAAATTAGCCAGTGTAACAGCAAACTGCATACGCATCGCGCGGTTCTACGTAACAATAAGTTTGATCTGGACAAACACCAAAACTGGCACCAAGTCCACAATACAACTGTTTGAAGTCAGTACCTATTATTGGTAGATTTATTTGACAGGCGTCCTGAATAGCATGTAGGCTTGCGGCTGTAAACAAAAGATCAAATAGGTTAGATTATTCAAGTTCAACAAAATATTAAAATGGAATGATCCCGGGGTTTAAAGCATGTGCTTTCCACAATAAGGTCTGTTAGTGATTCAAGTGGGTTGGGTTTGATTCCCCGCTCGTATGTGTCAAGGGGTAGGATCGCTACCCAACCTCGTGGGTGAAATATGCAATCGTATTATTAGAATGAAATTGAACCATGTGTTAGTTCCTAAATGACCTAGTTTGTGTCGAGTGGACGTTAAATTCTCTCTCTCTTAAAATAGAATACTGTATACGTACAAACACATTTTGCAACAGGTGGACAAGACTTTTTAATACAGGCAACCTTCATAAGACGGCAAGTTTTTCCGGGAGAACATTCTGTAGTCTGTGAAGAGACAATACTGTATTATTGTGTGATATAACAGATGTTTAGATTTTAGTATCCCGATAGTAATCTCAGGAGGTTTTAATTGTTCGTGCGTGTAAATGTATTTAAAGGTTAGCCTAGAGATAGATAAGCCCATTCAAATGCTTACTTTTGACATAGTATACGTGTAAAAAGACTCGAGAATTGAACGAAATAAAGCTCAACTATCCAATTTTAACGGCACTATCCCCACATGTAGCCACCTCTCTAGTGTTTGTACTATCCAAAACAAAGTAAAGAAATATCACACGTTTATTGGGGAAACATCTTTTCTTTCTGAATTCCACTAATGTTAGATTTAGCACTAACAACATGATACTACTCTAAATGATTCTATCGATAATACATCTCATTATTAAAGCCACCTGTAGATTTCGTCAAGGTCACGAGATCTGAACAGGGCTAGCGCAAACCCCAACCTTAACCCCAGCCCTAAGCGACAATTTCGTCAACAACCAAATGACGTAACCCTATTTACATCTCGCGATCTTGACGAAATCTGCAGGTGGTCTTAATATTTAGACCCGACCCTCTACAGTTGGTGGCGGATCAGCTTGTGGATGTTGAATACCACCTCCCGCATACAACCAGTGAATACACCTCAATTTAACCCTTCGACAGTACCAGTGAAATTAAACTTCGTATCAGAAAAACTAGATAAACTCAGATTCAAATTGGTCAAATACGTGTACAGATATTCTGAATACAAAAGAATTAAATAGAAGAAACCCCAGAATTACTGCTGCGTATTTGAAATAATGGCAAGATTCTTACCTCACACGGATCGCCAGCTTCTGTACAAAGTGCACTGATGCACAGACACTGAAAAATAAAATGTTAATTAGGATTAACAATGTACACAGTGCTCACTTTAAAGAGTTCACGGATGAGCCGATGATCCAGTTCGCAAACACCGGAGTATACACATGGATGAATGAATGAATGAATGAAATGTGATTTTATAGCACGTCAGCTCCAACCGGGCTATATTGCGCCAAACATATGATGAAAATATTCGAGACAAAATGAAATGGGGTTTAACGTCCTACTGTTCTGCTCCTATACTGGGCTAATGAAGACGGGCATACGCCATACAGTGTGCTATGAGAGAAATTTTGTCCGGGCAGCGGCACTATCGCCTACTATTATATCGAATTCCAACAGCCAAGGGATCTTTACGTGCATTCCAATGTATACAAGGGACCTCGGTTTTTCGTCTCATCCGAAGGACTAGACAGCTGTCCTTGTCAGACCATCCGTTCTGCACCACTGACAAGGGGAAACCACGTCGGAAAATATTCGAGACAAAATAAAAGAAATTACAGAAATATATGAGTATACACAATAACTGCCCCCTCCCCCTAAAGATCATTTAAGCGACGGTAAATTATTTTCAGTCAATAATGAACCACCTGTTAATTACAATAGTTTTTAAGGTATGAATTAAATCCAAAATATTCTTATTACTTACCAATATAGTATATACTAGATATTTCATTTTCTTGAGCTTTGAAGAGTTAATGTGTGCAATACAGGACAGCAGAACTGATAAGAGTAAAAACTTTTAAAGGTTCTATTATATAGACAGAGATAACGCTGATGTAGGTGGTCTTAAAAATTGTAGATATCAGATATTTTTATGAACTACAGTTTTAAGTAATTTAAGAAACGTCGGGTAACAGAGTACTTTCGAGTGGGTAAAATAATCAGATTTTTAAAATCTACTATCCAAATGATTTTAGAAAGGGTTCATTCAGATTCTCAGTGAGACTTTAACGGTACTTTAATATTTCAAAACTATTTCCAGAACGACAGGTCAGGCAGACAGATGAGATAAAATGAAATGAAATGGGGTTTAATGTCCTACTGGTCTACTCCGATCTGGGCTAATGATAATAGGCAGGACAGAAAGGTGTTGATTTTGGTCTTGAGTGAATACGTGTTCGATCCCTGCATTGACTGAAAAAGTTCATCGGGATTTTCCGACGTGTGTAGGACTAGTAGGAGGGAGGGCTGTTCTGCCCCGACTGGGCTAATGAAGACGGGCGTATGCCATATTTGCTACTATAAGGGCAATTTTGCCCGCACAGCGGCCCTACAGTCTACTCTTCTATCGAATTCCAACTGTCAATATACGGCCACATTATGAATGTGGACGTATAAAAAAAGCCAATCAATGTACAAGAGCAAGAATGACTCCACGTCCATCCCAGTCTACAGGGCCCATCCCAGTCTACAGGGCCCATCCCAGTCTACAGGGCCCATCCCTTGCAGTCTACAGGAAGTTTACTAGTTTGTGTCGAGTGGACGTTAAACCCCATTTCTGTCTTTCTCGCGCCTTGACTGTCCACTGGATGAACTTCTATGGGCATATCACCTTCTTCATTGTTTTGTTCGATTCTCTTTAATGTCTTAGTGTACGTATATGATATAATTATGACTGTTAAATCCATTTTGACCTTTTTTCAAGTCTTACTTATATAAGATTTGAGCCTAAAATCTTTCATTGTTCATCCTATGTGCTTCATCTAGAATCTGTATACAAGATGGCACCCTAGCTGAGCTGCACATGAAATATCTCTCTGAGTTTCAGGATAATATCTCATGAAGTGCATTAAGTTTTAAAGTTTTACTTGGCAGGCTGTTGTGTAACACTATATGGATTAGTTTGTGCAAATTGTGTAATTGGGACGTTTTGTGTTGGGTATATTGAGGAACAATGCATTATGATAAACCATAATGTGCAAATTCCATAAAGATTATAAAATATGTATCCTCCGATGGCTATCGTCAACACATTCAGCATACCACCCACAAATCAGACCACACCCTGATCTAGAATCTTACCTTGGAGACATGTACTATCATTGAAAGTGTATCAGTTCACAATATTCAATATCAGATTATCATCTTACTGTTTATATGGAATTTTGAAAAACTACGATTGCAGTAAGCAACCATATCATTTAGAAGAGAGAGAGAGAGAGAGAGAGAGAGAGAGATAGTTGTTGTTTAACGTCCACTTGACACATACTAGGTCAATTCGGGACTAACATATGGTTTAATTTTTTATTTCAAGACTTCGCTTGGACAGGCGACCCTACTCCTTGTCACGTACAACCGAGAATTCGAAACCACGCCAGTTGACTCAATGACAGGCTTTATGATACAGCGCGCACGTGCTAACCATTCGCCCCCCCCCCCCATTATCATTTAGGAGGATTATTCTATAGATAAAGCTTTCTGGAATGACCTCAGCTCTTCAGATCTGTTGTGCAATACATAAACTGTATGCCAACATCACTCGCGAGGTTCTTGAAATTTTCAAGTCTTACGTCCAGGAATGTCAGAAGAAGTACACGCTCCCAAGGACTAAGAGTGTGGTGGTACGTCCCATTCTCACAGAGGAATTCGCCTCGCGCGGACAAATTTATCTTATTGATATGGTCTATAAAGACCACCCGACCAAGTTCGTTATTCTACGAGCATTAACGCATCAAAGCGTGCTACTGGGGTTGCCCATCATCTTCTGGATATTTTTCGTCTTGTTGGTGCTCCATCTATCCTCAAGAGTGACAGGGGCCGTGGTGATCCACGTAATATTCTGGGAATAATCATCGTCCGCGACGAGAATGCGATCTACACTACTTGTGTTAAAGCAGGGATTCTAAAAGGGAAGTTTTCACACAATCGGTTTGATTTGTGTTCGCAACATTTACTTGTTGACTCGGATGTAGACCGTACAGTGTTGTAGTGTATATTTTCATATAATTTGCATACGTATTTAATTAATAAGATTTAAATTGCGTATTTTATTATAAAACTAAAGTAACATTTCTTTGCAGACGTTGATATATATAAGAATATTGAGACACTAGAAGAGTTCTGTATTGTATGTCGTTTTAGATTGGTTTTAAGTATAATTAATGGTGACGCGTAAGACATTTCAAACAATACAGTGGGATTAACTAGAGGCAATATAAATACTCAATATGACACTTGAATGATTGAGTTAGGCAAGATTGGTTTTTAACCAATCAATGACCAAGGCTCTAGTTTTCTCTGGATGTTTTAAACATCCACCAATCCAATTACTAGAAAATAACTAGGCGTGTTATTCGGAAATTCAAGCCTTTATTCGCGGACAATCGTCTAGTCGTCACTTGAATGAATTATACTTTTAACTACAATATCGGAACTCTAATTTCTATTCAAAGGGTACGGAATCGCACGTTTATAATAGAATCCAGCTGTGATGGACGTCAAAGGTCGCACGCGGAGATTGATGTACATGTTGATAAACTTTATGAAGAGTTAGACGTACAACAGTTTCCGAGTTAAAATCCACTGAAAAAAATTGGGCAGGGGATAATACGAGAATTTAATTAGGCTTCGATATTTGTAATAAATAGTTAGCGATTAACATCGTCTTGTGTATGCAATGAATTCTCCTTCGACTTCGCTCTAGTTGCTAGGTAAGTCACGCGACACAAACATGACCTCTTTTGATCGATTGTTTTTATAGTAAGGGTATTCCTTGGCAATTGCAATATTTTGAGAAGGATTTGAAGCAGAATTGTTTGAATATGTTTTTAGTCTAAATATATAGTTTTAATATGTTTTTAGTCTAAATATATCATCAAATCACAGGTTTTTTTTTGAATAAATATAGCCGAAGAACCAACTGCAACAAAAGAAATTGTTTAATTATTCCAGATGGTCGAGCGTGGTATGGGAGTGCCGTTGACTTGAGCAATAAGTGAGAAATAAATCAGAGGATGCTCCCATGAATGGGCGTGCTGGAGTGAGGTATCTAATAGGGACATTTTTGACACGCGAACCGTTGATCCTTGGGACAATTTCTGAAGGGAATAGAGGAATTCGTGTTTACATGGTGACGGCAAACGTCATTGACTTTACAGTAATAAAGTGAGAAGTACATCAGAGGATGCTCCCATATATGGAATGGATGTGCTGGATTGAGATATTTAATGGGGAATTTGTTTTACACGCGAACAGTTGATCCAGGGGACAATTTCTGAAGTGAATAGAAGAAGGCGTGTTTACATGTGGACGGTAAACGCCATTGACTTTAGCAATAAAATGAGAAGTCGTCAAAGGAAATTCCCATGAATGGATGTGCTGGAGTGGGAATATATTTTTAAACGCGACCAGTTGATCCAGGGGACAATTTCTGAAGCGAATGAAGGAAATCGTGTAATGACCGCCATATTTAGTAAGTTATTTATTTACTTTTGTCAGATTAGTAGTTTCTTGTAAATAAGATTTACTAGAATTGCCTGTAGTAACAATTTGCCAGTAGTAACAATGGGTGCTATAGGTGATCCCGTGGCAACTAGTATTTAATTGGTATTATTTTATATGTAAGTTTATATCAATGTATTCTTGTTTTCAGGTCTATAGGTGATGCCGTGGCAGCAGACGATACTCTGGTACATAGAGCTCCGGCATTCCGGAAGGGTGTGATGCTGGTGGAAAGCGGTGGCTATTCTTATACAAAGATTATGGCCAGGGGAGAAACAACCTACTGGTCATGCAGCGTGAGAAACTAACGATTAAAATGTGCAGCTACTGTCACGGAAAGGGGGGGGGGGCAACTATGAGCTTGGCCGTCACAGTCATATACACCCGTGTAAACCTGGCTTGCATCATACAAAAGGCCAAGGTTGATTTGTTTCGGTCGGCGTCGGCAATTGTGGAGGACGTGATGGCTGAGCACATTAATGACACCACCCCTTTGGCTGGATTGAAAAAGCCCGAAAACTTAGTGAGGACGGCAAACCGATGCAGACAAAAGATGAGACCTGCAGACCCTGTTGATTTAGAGTTTGTGGTATGTTTACGATGAAATTTTCAGTTACAATAATTTACATGAAATTTACAATTGCCATTTATTCATTTTTTCGGTTACAATAATTTATTCATTTTTTCGGTTACAATAATTTATTCATTTTTTCGGTTGCAATAATTTATTCATTTTTAGTTACAAGAAGAGGTTTTTCAGGCGGGATATCTGGGTGGGGAAATATAGACATATAATTTTTGCAACAGACAAACAGCTGGTTTTATTGAAAGAGACTAAAACATGGTATATGGATGCCACCTTCAAAGCCGTGAAAAAGCCATTCACTCAACTGTTTTCACTCCATGGGTTTGTCCGGTCAGGGGATGACATCAAGCAGTTACCTCTGCTGTACTGCTTGATGTCGAAACGTCGAACACGGGATTATACAAAGGTAAATTACTTACTTTACTAGTCAAACACTTACTTCATATAGTCAAATACTGAAATTAAAAAATGATATTAAATAATGATATTAAGTCATAAAATATTGATATTTTTGTCATATAAAGTCAAATACTGAAATTAAATATTAAGTCATATAAAATATTGATATTTTTGTCAAATAAAGTATGAAATATTGATATTTTTGTCATTTTAGGTGTTCGAGGCCATACGGGAAATGTCTGCCGATAACCTCAAGTTGAGATGTGCTGTGGTGGATTTTGA